ATTTTTTCGGTGGGACGCACCACGCGTGAAGGCTTGAAATTTTTTTTGGTAACAACTGGGTATATTACCTACATTTTAAGGCAATAAAAAAAAATGTATGTGTCCTCATTTTTTTTAAAACCGCTAAAATCTGAAAAAAATTGAAAATTTACGATTTTCACGAATTTTTTTCGGAGTCTAAATATATTTCGATAAATTTGATTTTTTTACCCAAGAATGTGAATGCCCTGATGTACATTTGGTGAAATTTTGGTGCATTTTCATTGAAAAACGCGGGAGATATGAAATAAAACGTGAAAATACCCCAAAATTCCCCGAAAAATGGGTTTTTCGGGGCTGGAGGGGGGGGTGGTTAGGGTCAGGAGGTCAAAATATCCCAAAACCATGTTTTTAGGACCTCCTGAAGGGGTTTAGACCATTAAATTCAAAATCCGTGAGGAGGGGCATTTTGGTGCCCTTATCCTGGGATACCCTTTAGACTTGTAAAGCATTAAATGTTTTAAATTCATAACTAGGTATTTTCCATGTTTTCTGGGGCTTACGCGGAGATCGATACATACCCTCCTGTCAGAGGCGAGACAATTTCTTTTAATTTATCTAAAATCTATCAATTTGTAAGCAAGGATAAAAAATTGTACAGTGTAAAATTTACTTACATGAACAAATGAAGCGACAATTTCTTAAAAAATTGGAACGGAATAAAAATGAATTTAAATGGAATAAAAAGTGATCTGAATAGCATAAATATTTAAAAATAAAAATACCTATACGCTCGCAAAATCCTTTTGTAGAGAGCATTACCAACTTGATTCTGAACAGGATTACCGCAAGAAGTGATGAAAAACTGATTTTCAATGTAGATGTAGTGGCGAGACTTCGCAATAATGTCTACATACGCTTCATGAATACTCCCTTCCCACAGATCTTCGTCCAAAAATCCTGCACTCCAGTGGCCAACACTTCTGACAACCTAAAAATCGAAACAATTGCTTTTTTACTGATATTAGGGGTCAAAATTATGCTGGAGAATCACAAACAAAAAATAAGGCAATTCAATTACAGATCATTAAATTGAATCTGCTCAGGCTGCTTATTCACAATGAAAGTTTAAAACTTATCAAATATATTAAATTTAGTCTCCTGTCTAATTTCTCATGAGGCGTAAGGACACTTTTCACTTTATCTGGGGGTCTATTGCTGTGTACATAATCTTGATCAAAACAATCCACGGAACAAAAAGAATAAAAAATTTAGTGACAGGAATGATTATTTGACAAAATCTAACTCTGCTATTTTTGATAATAATCCAAACATCAGCCTCAAAAATATCTAAACTGTTTGCAGGAAGCAATTTTTCTGATTATTACCTGACATTTAACATTAGATCTGTGCGAATTCTTGAATCTGATGGGCCTGATGTACTCTTTGTCCGCTTTGGGCAGCAGGTATGGATATAAAGGATTTAATTTAGCTTTTTCTACCTGAAAAATGAAAATTGAGCGTAAATTATTACATGTAAGGCAATGGACGTTTTAATAGGAATGACAGCGTATGAGACATGTGCTAAATGAATGAAATAAAATACTTTACAGCAGAACTACAGGACACATTTTTCAATTATTTTATTTGTTTCTTGAAAAAGCCATAAAAATTTCTAGGGTTAGAAAAATCAACCTACATCGTGATATACAGGTTGCCATAAACATTGAAGCAACTTTGAACTTTGCTTCAAGGCTTTGAAGTACAAATTTTTCTGAATGTTCAATGAGTCCGTAGAAAAGCAAAACTCAAGGGTGAGGAAAATGGTGTCATAAAATTAACGCACACACTATGAATCAACATATGCAGTTCACATTTAAAGTCATAAAATTCTCCTGTTACAAACTCAGTGTTAAAAATACAAACAAAATGAAAGAATCTGAGGAAAATTCCCTTAAAAATGCACGAACTTACTTTAATGGCATTCCATCTTTGAATAAAATGTCTTGCGACATCACGAGCGGCGTTCCCAGTCACCATGACTCCTATATCATGCCACGGCATTCTAGGTGTGTGATTTCGATCGACTAAATCTAAAAGGGCACAAAAACTAATATGAGCTCTCTGAAAAATGAACTTAGGTCACCAGGGTGGAAAACTAGGACTTGATTTGTATGCTACATATTTTTATATTTTAAGCAGCATAGCTAAAAAATAGCTGAAAAAGTTGAAGGTAAGCTGTAACCTCTGGTAGTTTAACCAGCAAATTTATTGACTTAAACCATGAAAACACAATTTTGTGGCTGGTGCAACTAACTCATTGTGTTATCTGTTAAAAAAACACATGCTATGTTGAGAATTTTGCGAAGAAAAGTTTTCGTTCAAACTCTATTACAGATGAAGAAAAAAAGACATAATTGACTCCAACCTTGATACGGCAGGTCTAAATTGTGGAAGTCTTTGACTATGAAGTTGGTGTAGTCTTTGCCGAACCATAATTTTGCACACCCGGTCAAATTGCTGAGCATCGGGTTGACTTCAGGTATTATGGAAGATGCTTTACACATCGGCGACTCTCCAGCAGACTTTGTTTTGTCATTCCTGAAATTCAGAGAGAACATTTATACTTGGTGATTCATTTAAATGCTATAGAAACTAGATTATTAAGTTCGATGTACTTAAAATTACATTTGTTATAATTTACTGAATTTTTCTTTCAATAAAATTTCAAGTAAAGCAATACTAATACTTTTCAAAATCATAAATAGATTAATACTTCAAATTTTAAAGAAGCACCTGGACTATGCCACTGGTAGTACTATACCATTTTTCCTCGGAAAATTATCTTTCTTTGGTGATTCTACCTGTGCACTCATTTCTTCGCAATTTATCCCAGGATTTTTTTCCTCGCATCATTGAGGCGATTCAAACTTGTGAAAACTCAAATGCTCTCTTTTCAGCTTTTGTAACACACCATATTCCCTGCACAGACCTTCGGGCGCAAGGAAATTTCAAGCGCTAATTCTGAGGGAGCAATCAAAGAGGATGGAGGGGTTTATTGAGGACTTAAATTTCAGGTTCCACATCGATGGCCAAATAGTGAAACCACGTATCTCCATTGCGGAGTTTCAACATTTCTGCTTCTATTTCAGTTTTACCAGGAGAAACATGCAAACTTTATAGTTCGAAATTTACACAGAATATTCTGCTAACCGAGAAGATAAATCAAGGAAGTTTAAAAAAAATTACATGAACTAGTTTTCCAAAGAAAAAATAAAGCATGACAGGAAGTCTGCAACGTCGCAAACAAAGATAAGTGGTTTCACACTCTGACCATCAACATTATGACGTATTGGTGTCCTACACATCAATGGAATTTATTTTTCAATGCCCGTTTTCAGTTTCAGAGATAGGTAGATTTTGGAAAAGGTTTAGGCGATAAAATTGAAAAATTCGGAAGGTTATACAGTTTCCGAGAAGATTCACAATTAGAGGACATCCAAATAATATGAGGAATACTTACTTGGAGGGGCCATCTCCAGCCAGACTTTCTTCATCACTACTGAGAGTTGGACTATCGGTGCTCCACTGACTCATGAATTCTCTACCACGTGTTTTCACCTTTAAATAAAGTATCACATGAGAATTAGTTTATTTTTTACCATTTACAAGGTCTGAATAAATAATAACTTTCTATACAACATTCAAACATTTTTTAGGTCAAGAATGTAGAAATAAAATTATTTGTCTGAAACAATGTCATGGCAGTCCTGCTGCGGCATAAAAAAGAACAGTTTGCAATGGTGCAAAATAGTTTTGAAAGCTTGAAATTTCCAGTTCAAAAAACGTGAATTTGAAAATAAGCTGGTTAAAATTTAAATACTGCGATTATTTTATGACAGCCAAAACAAATCTTCCATTAAAATTCAAGTTTGTCTTGCTCAGAGTTCCAAATGTTTGGATTATAGAATCATGTTACGCCTTCAATTAGTACAAAAATGAGAGAAACCATGGACAACTCAGACTTTCGGATACTTCTCATTGAAAACACTAATTGTAATTTTTCAATGCAACTTGAAAAAAATGCTCTCCTAAAAAGTATGTCACTCAGGATCTGATGCTTGGTTCTGCAGACAGTTACAAGTAAAATAGCAATGGGAAAAAAATCCCTAAAAACACTAAGGCAGAAGTTTTGGCAGAAGAATATGAGCAATACTTGTAGCTTACTTTTTCCATCAAACTTTTGTCTTTTGGTTCTGGTGTCTCGCATTTGATGTTTTCTGGACTTGGTTGATTCATCATAGTTTCGTCGATGGCCAGTCTGAGACGAACTTTTTGATTTAGAGACCTTTCTGGTTTCGGACTACTGAAAAGAGTGTAAAAAGATGCAAATGTAACTCAAGTTGCAAAACTTCAAACTTTTGACCGAAGTTCGGACCAGAGAAAATAGTAATCCATTTTAAAAAATACTTTTGAAATACTTCACTTTTTTCCAAAGGACCCCGCACACCTCTTATGGGAAGCTGCATCATGACCGATTGCCTTCTGACTTATGTCATTCGATTCTCCTCAAGATGCTGATCAAAAGTTATAATTGCGCCAACTTTCTACGATGCACCGTTTTCGCAAACAATCAAAGAGAAGATTCAATTATTCGGCGAATATGAAGAAAAAAGAACGAAGCATTTGAGGACAGGCCCGATGTAAATAAAGAAAGAGCGTAGCGCGTGTCCGTCTTCTTATCTGTGCCTGCCGACTCAGGGGCTATCTCCCTCCCACAATCGCCCGGTAGACGTTCAGACTTTCCTGTTCCCATGCTCCTCGAGAATCTGATTTGGATGGTCGAGCAAAACGGTGTGCGGAATCTGAGATAAGACTGCCGCTCAGTGCGGGAGTCCTCATGATTTCCTTGTTGACACACAGCCGCTTGTCAATCAAGCACTGAAATGAGGAATCTTTCTGGCTTTTTATCACCGAATAATTGAATCTTCTGTTTGATTTTTTGCGAAAATGGTGCATCTTAGAAATTTGGCGCGATTATAACTTTTGATCAGCATCTTGAGGAGAATCGAATGACATAAGTCAATAAGCAATCGGTCATGGTGCAGCTTCCTATAAGAGATGTGCAGGGTCCTTAAGGGTCTTCCCTAAATTTTTTTTTGCAAATTTTCAAGGATATGCAAGGACTTTCACTCCTAAAAATGTATTCCTGAAAATCTGAGTGAAAAGTTTAGGCACATGCAGCACATTTTAAATTCACCTGAGGATTGTCAACATTTTTTCTAAGGAATAAAGAGGGGCTAATGAAGTAGATATAATAACATAATAATTTCAAATTTTTCTGCACAGCTATTAGTAAGAAAATAACACACAACTTGCTGACGATAAGAATTATAATCCTCAGAAATTAAACGTTCTAAGTCATATATCTAAACAAAACGTAAGAAGGATCACAAATTTAAAGATCAAAGCCTTTTGTCATAATTATCAAATACTTTCAAAGGCCTGACAGTTTCATCAAAAAAGAAGGATGTTTCAGGTACTTTTTAGCTTGAATGAATATTTTTCAAGTTTCAACATTAATTGCAAAATAGTATTGTCATTACTGACTGACTTTAAGTGCCTGTAAATAATAGAATGAAAGAAAATAACACTTACTCATTTATTCCATCTATCTCGGAAGTACTTCTGTTTCTTACATCTAATTTTGCTGATAGCCCATTGGCGGATGGTTGAGGAGGACTATCAGTTAGCGGCAAGGACACTGAAGATGAATGCACTTTTGGGTTGAGATGAATAGCGCTACCAAGATCGGTCAACCTGTGTCTGTAGTCATCCCATCTTCCGTAACAAAGATCTATCCCAGCGACGAAAGCATAAGACTGATCAACGACTACAATCTTCTCATGATGCGCCCACAAGAAAAACATGCCCACTTTTGCTTGGTCAGGGTGACGCAAAACTTTGATATTTGAAGAGTGTCCACCGACCAGCCTTTGTTTGCTGTAGAAGCTGTTGATTCCTAAGGCCAACTCCACTTCTTTGTAAAGTAACACAAAGACTTTCACACCTTGAGCAGCTTTGCGGTACAAAATGTTATCGAGTCGCCATCTATCACCTGGTGAAAAGAAGGTATATTTAAAAATCTCAAGTTGAATTTTTTGTGAAAAGTATGAAAATTTGAGATTACTCAAAATAATGTGAAATTTTCTGGAGAAGAACCTTCCCCATCTAGCACTGGAGAGGTTTCCCCAGACTTCTTTCAGAAGTCCAGCTACTCCCCACACCAAAAATTTTTACTTCCACTTTTTGCTGTATAGACCTTCATATAATAAATGATAAAACCTTTATTTAATGATGACAAGGAGTCAAAAAACATGAAAGCATCAAATGATTAACTTATAGATAATTGTCGCATGTTATGTTATGCCTTTTCAAAATCGTCCCTGAGACAGATTTTTTGTCCATCTCTTGTTCTCTCATTTCTTCGGTGTCTTTCCGTAGTTTCAACTTACCAAGTTACTACAGTTACTTTAGGCCTTAGGCCATTGCTGGTACACAATCAGAAGCACCATTCATTCAATTTATAATCTTGTTTATCGGAGCACCAAATGGCTGATGCAACATTCCCTATCTAATACATATCCCAGGTCGAGTGGCCAAGACAGAGGCTTCTTCGCTTTGCAATTAACATTCAGCCAAGGATAGGGCCAAATTCTATGTGCTTTCGCAAGTCAACAGGAAATTTCCGTTTATCTAGTGTGCATCCGGTTTCCATTTTTGAGAGTCAGTTTCTGTGAATAAAGTGTGCCTGTTTGTAAATCCCACATTTTTACTGCTCTTCCATTTCGCTCTCTGACTTGAAGCTAAATTTGGCCCTTCAGTGCCTTTTTAGACAATGATATTTTAGCGCATCTCACTGCGAAAATCATCTTTTTGGGATATCCATATTCATGGTACATATTGCTGCTAAAACCCATGCGCTGAATGTCTACTAAAATTTCATCTTTGATTTTCCTAACTTTTTCTGATATTTTAGATGAAATTCCCTGATTTGCGGCGCCAATAAATTGACACTTGTATAGTTTTACAAACATATTTGATGATTTGAATAAAATGTTTCACTTTTACATGTACTAAACTGCAGGTAGTTGAAAAATGCTTGACAAACTTGGAATTTACTGATCCATGACCAATTTTCCTGATGACATCGGATTTCCTGATATTATCCAGTATTTTCGGTTTTTACTGATGGTAGAAACCCTATATTGATGCTTTTATGGAAGACAATAATATCTTGAAACTTTCTTCAGGGTGTCTACTGGTACCCTATCATTCAAAGTCCTTGCTTTTTCAGTACCTTTTCCTTGCTTTTTCCTTGCTTTCCCGAAAATTCCTCTTTTAGGCAAGTCTCAAAAATCCTTGCTTTTTCTTTACCTTTTCCTTATTTTTTCCTTACCTCACACACATTTTTAACTGTATTCAATTGAAAAAGCAAGATGATGGAATGGCAAAGAAATTACTGAAAAACAAGAGGAATTGAATCAGAAACTTGATGAGTAAATTATGTTCGGAAATCGCATACCCTAAGCCTACACTTAAGAGTTTATCACAAAAAGTTCGAATTTCTGTGCCTTCATACGGAAAATCTGTACCTCATCCGTACTGCCGTACTTCCATGCCGACCTTCTGAAATCTGCTTTTTCAGTGTATCCGTACTTTTTGCGTACAGTAGACACCCTGTTTCTTTTTTGACAAAATTACTTGATATATTAATTTGGTGTGCATAATAATCCAAAACTTGGAATTCCAACTTGTAACCTAGACTCTCACCTTCAACAGCAGGCCTCTTCATCTGGATTTCCGGACTCAGCCACCAGTCAGTTATAAAAATTTCTTCTTTCGCTTGCTCCAGAACATCGGCAACTGCCGACATGTAATCGCAGCCATCCACAAACCAATTCGCAGTGATCGAAGACCGAACAGGAGCAAACGACCGGTACCTGTTGCCTTGAATATACTTGAGCCCTGCTGTTGCGGTCATCTCTTTCACAAAACTCATCCATTCCTTCGCAATTCTTTGAGTGGGGCACTTGACGATGAATTCCCGGGAGGAATTCCTGATGTAGAGACCGTTGCGTAGCCCTGTGGAAAACATACCTGACGATATTTCGAAACCATGATCAAACAGTATGACACCTTTGATTGTACCGTCTTTTGGGTAAATGTAAGCGATGAAAGATTCTTTGACGATTAGCCACCGTGTTCGCCAACCGCCGAAGATGTCGCCGCAAAGATACCTGCACCTGGCACAAAGACCGCAGTTACACAGACCACAACAGGAGCAAGGACTCCTGCCGTAATGCGTGCTGCCAGTTCTTTTTAGTATCATGCCTTCCATTCCTTTGATACCCAACTCTCGGATGAAAGTCAAATGGCTGACTTCAAAAAACGATACCTGAAAAAAAAAATAAAAATAAACAAGTAGCAAAAGCTACCTGCTGAGGGGGCGCCGCCCCCCCAGACCCCCCCTTTCAAATTATATATGTGAGACTTTGAGTATCATAGAAGTCGTGCGGCGACATGCCGAATGAAATGCCACAATTAAAATTATTGGATCAGATGATGAGCTGATAAAAGCCTTACCTAGTAATTTGGGAACATTTCTGACACAGTTTGATTGCTTTAACTATCACTTTGATTTGCGAAATACAAATCATTTTCACTTCGTATGTAGTTAAAGAGCTTGATGCAAAAACGGCTTTTTTCGCCCCCCCTCTGAAAGTTCTTCGGACTTTGTCTATTGATTACTCATACTTGAACGCTTCTTTTCCCAAATTTTCAGACCCCCAAAAAATTTTGGGGGGGAGCTAGGGGGGGTGGAAGTCAAAACCTGTGAACCTCGATATCTCTTGAACAAAGAAAGATATCGAGGTCCGGTTTGGACGAAAAATCGTCTAAAATTGCATACTTTAAGATTCTAAAGGTCGAAATCCCGATATCACAATTTTAAGTCAACATATGTGCTGTTTTCCAGTTTTTAGGTCTAGAAAATTTCTTTTAAACAAAAAATTTACAAAGATCTCAATTTTTTATTTGAACCAAAACCAGTTTTTTAAATTGTTCGTCTTTTTCCGCATCCAACGAGTGGTCCATTAAGCTGGGGAACCAAACGGTTCCGGAGTTATGATCGATTGAAGTTTCCGCTCAACGCGCGCCGACCGATTTTCGCGCGCAAAAAAGTCGAATTTGACTGTTATTAGATCAGATTGAATGTTCAAACTGAGCAAAATGCTTTATTAGGGATTCTTGAGGGTCGCTGAGTTCAGAAATTACCGATACTTCCAAATAATTTACGTTTTTAAAATTACAACTCCGCAGCGCTATTTTAGAGGCCCACTGAGCGCCGACCGGCCGCTCAGTGGTCCTGTCCCAAGCTGCAATTGCATCGTGGTGGGGGGGAGTAGGCCCCCCCTAAACCCCCCAAAATTGCTCAGAATTCCGACTTTTCCGCGAATTTTCCCACTTTTACCCGAAAAGGCTTGATTTTAGGGCAAAACTCCGAATAACCATTCTGAAAGCTCGTGAAATTCTGGTCTAGAAAAGTCTTAAGTGACTTTGACCAGGACCCGCGGTCCCCCAAAATGGGAGGGCTTAAAATGTCAAAATATCTCAAATTTCCGCGAAAATGACCGTTTCGCCGCGATTTCTCGCCAATAACGCAAAGAAGGTTGGTATTATCGTAAAATCGTTTACCCCTATAATAACAGAGCATTAATTTTTCATTCTAAGGGCGGCCTAACTCCTCGTGGGGGGGAGGGGGCCCCCCCAGCAGTACCCACCCTATAAAAACCGTCAAGATTGGCCGCTTCCTTGAAGTAGCGTTGTGCGCAAAAATGGGCGGCAAAATGAAAACAAGTAGCGTTTGTTCTGAGAGAACATCAATGTGGATTCTTGTGGGGGGTGACAGGAGGGAGGGAGGTACATCCTCATAGGTACAGGAGGTACATACCCTCCTATTATTAAGTAAGTAACGTTTATAAATTACCCCTCCCCCACCCTTTTTTAATGTTGGCTGGGGGGGCTAAGATGTCTAACACACCCCCCCCCTCCCTTCTTTAAATTATATTAGTGTGAGCGTGACAATGACACGCCCTGAAAGTCGCCTTTTAGAGTATGGAATTTTCGCGT